AAAAAACCCCCCCCCCCCCCCCCCCAAAAAAAAGGACAGAACAGCAAATGCTTGCAGGAGCTCTGAGTTCAGCTACAGAGCACAGAAATTATGATTTTTGAGTCTAACTTAGGAAACGTTTTGAAACTACAAATCAAAACAACTTGTGGCAGTGGCAGTATTTTAAAGCAAAGAACACTTTTTGTCCGAGTACATGTTTTAGTCTTTTAACTTTTGATGCTGACACCAAGATTCTGATAGTAAACTTCTTAAATTGTAGGGTCACATTTTCTGATGAAGAGTTTTTCAATAATAGTGACCAACCATGAGTTTATCCTTTGTGAATTTTAAAACACAAAGTTTGAACTACCAAATAGTTTGTTGTGTTCAGGCAGCAACTGGCATCCACTCAAGGGGTAAAATCTGCTCAGAACTTTCTCCATTTCTTTCCTCCAGAGAGCTAGAAGATGGCCCGTAACATCTTACTGTTCCAACCTTCACAGCACAGTAAAATCAGTGAATTAGCGCATGGCACAGAAACAGCCCATCTGTGAACTGTGAAGTCTGTTCTGTGCCATCTTGCTAGATTCCTGGCTGGCTGGGTTTGTCTCTCTCACTGAATTACCTTGTCATTAAGGGTGAAAGTTAAATATAGTCTTCCTTGTGTTCTGATGAGCTTCTGTTGAGGTCCTCTTTAAAATTAGCATTTACAAGTTAGAAGAGAGGGAGGCAGTGTGAGGGCACCTCCAGCTCTCTCCTTACTAATAGCTATTTAAGCTTGGTATAATTTCAGCAGTGGTAAATGGTGTTTATCCTGCACTGTGAGGGCTGTGCAGTAGTTGCCTGGAATCACTCCTGGCCCTCTTGTTCACGGAAATCTCCTGAGTCTGAGGTAGAAACACAGAATCATAGAAGAGTCTGAAGGAACCTCTTGGTCCTTTTGGAGACCATTTGGTCCAGCCCTCTGTCCAAAGTGCAGCCTGAGATTAGGTTAAGCAACTTAGATTAGATGAGCAACAGTGGAGAGGGGAAGGGTTTTGTTGCCTCTTGTCTTGCTGTTAATCATACATTTCTGATTGAAATCTTGCTTGCTGTACTCTGATTTTGGTATGTAGTTCTGGGCTTTTTCTCTTCCTCCTTCAGGTTTGGCTCCTTCCAGTCTGTGTCCCTACGTGAAACCTGAGCAACATTAAGGGCTTTCAGTGCTTTTCTTGGTTTTTCCTTAAAGACTTGGTAAATCTGCATGTCTTGTGTTTCATCTCTTCCTATTATTAAAGTGCAAAGCTATGAATAACCTCAACTTTTCACTGTTTTCAGTTTCCTTTTAGCATAACAGTTTCAGTTAATTTGGTTTTCTTACATTAAACAATGTAGGTCAGGGACTTTCTATTTTGCAATTTTGCTGTGTAGGCTCTAAAGTTGTGCTGATACAAGATGGTGTCAGTCCCACAGGGATCATGCCAGCATTCTAAGCACAAGTTTTTTTCCAAAATCACATCCTTATTGTGGTTGTAGGTTGCAGAATAATGCAATATAGAAAACTGACTAAGACTTCAAGAGTATGCCACTACATAGTCTGTTAAATTGAAGATTTCATGTAACATCCTGGAACCCCAGTAGTATGCACGTTTCTAAAATATTTAGTGGGTTTTTGTTGTTTAAGTCATTTAGTCAAATCTCTCACTGTTCATTTCCAGGTGATTGGGATAGTTATAATCCATCTTCGTCAAATGTAATATATGAAGAACAGTCACCATTATCTTCATCTTCACATTCTGCTTCCCCATCTGAAGTGTGTTATTTACCAGTACCAGGAGAAGCTTTAACGAGAGTTCAGCTGTCTGAGAAACTGGAACAAGCAAAGAACACTGTGCCTGAAAAGATAAGCACTTTAACTGAAAACCAGTTTGAGATGAAGCCTCAGTCTTCTCCCCAGAGAACAAAGAACAGATGGGAATGTCCCTCCAGCCCTGGGTTTGAAATCACAACAAGTAGTTTGGAAGTAGGGACCAGAAGAGACAGATCTGCAAGTCCAGAAAAGTTAGTGGCTGCTGAGGGACACCTTCACACAGGATTCCATGGCCCCAGAAAAGGGGACCCTGAAAAAACCTACAGCAATCTCTCGCATAAATCTGACAGTTCCAGAAAGAGTGAGAATAAACCCACAGAAACCGGGATGAACAATAGTAACAAAAAAGAGTATTCCAGTGGAAAGCAAGGAAGGTCTGCCAGTCCCCAAAAGCATCTCAGTAAGCAAGGAAATGTAGAAAGGGTAGGCAGGTTACAAGAATATCAGAATAGAACAACTGGTGGTGGTAAGATGACTGTTGAGCAATTGAAAGGTGGAAACGGTAAAACAGGAGTCACCAGGAAAGACACAAAGCAGATGACTTCTGGAAAGATGGAAGGGTGGTCTCCAGAACGACAACATGCAGCATTTGATGACAATCATCTTCCATTCAGTGACTCTAGGAGAAACGCATCTGAAGATGAAAAAACAAAGTTGTCAAACTCTGGAGAGCCAAGTTCCAGCAGATTCAAAACTTCCAGTCTTTCCAATATTCCACTGCTTTCCATGGAGAAACAAAGAAGGCTAGAAACACAGGAGATGCTTATGCTGAACAGACAACATGGAGAGAGACACACGGAGCTACCCAATGAAACCAAAGATGATGGAATTTCCAAATCCGAGAATAGTTCTCCAGTTAAGAAAACACCAATAACTCCTGGACCTTGGAGGGTACCAAGCGCATGTAAAGTCACCCAAACAGCAGGTGTGGCTGAAAAACGGGTTTGACTGACGCTTTTTTTTAGAACATGTTTTAATCAGGTTGCTAATACTGGTCATCTAAAAGCATTGTTTCTTTTCACGAAGTTGTCATTTTTTTCAGAAACTGGTTAGAGGGTGGAAAGTATTTGATTCATTCTTAAATTATCTAAGCTGCATGAAGGACCTTTTGGATTGCTTAAATGAAACTCTTCCATAAGCTGCTGTCCCCTTGTCCTTTTGAAGGCGGTGTTCTGCTGCTCTCAACGTTGCACTGCTACGGCTTTCTCAGATAGTATTGTGAGTTTCTGAACAAAATTATTTAATGCCTATATTGCCAATGTGATCATGACTCACTTCTTGTTCTTGTGCCAAGTTAGCTACTGTATCCAGTCAATCTAATCCTTCTTGTATGTATTCCAGTCACAGAAAAGGCAAGGTTTTGTTTGAAATGGGTATTTTCTCAAGAGCATGTTGCATGTTTACATAAGGAAAAACACATGTTCTTGCTGGTTCAGTAAGAAGATGGGTGGGTTGGTTTTATCAATTCTAGGGCAGCAAACGAGCCTGTTGCTGTTCAGTTGATGTTTTTTCTTAAATTTTTATACCTAATACAGAATCGTGTAGATAAAAATTATATTTGACATAATCAATGTTTTGTAATTTTGCTTTTTATGAACACAGCAAAATTGCTTTATTTTCTTGATTCATAAGGATGCTTATAACAACTCTTTGCAAACATGTGTCTGAAAAGAGAAAATTCTGGGTTCTGTTAAATAACATAATTCCTTTGGTTTCACTTGTGGCACTGTGTCATCCTTAGCATTCTTTGTAAACATAAGCAATGAGTGCATATTTATTTTCAGCCTCATTGTGGTGCTGTATACTGAAGTCCCATCTTTACTTAATGCTAGTTAGCAATTGGATTTTTTTCCCTGTGTAGAGAAAACAATTGACCTCTAGGACAGAACCAACTGCCATAGCAGCTTCTTAAATGAAGTTCTTGCCTGTGTATATTAGAAGTCTCCCATATTTTACTTTGAATGTGTGATCTGTTCTAAGAGTGCTAAATAGGATGATATACAGGGTACATGAGACTTAATATCTATTGTTTGGGCTAGAATACCTATTTTTTAAAAGAGGAGTGTTGCCATCAGAATTTACTGACACATCAGTCCTACAGCTGTAAGAACAGCAGACTGCATAAATTGAAGGGTTTTATTTTAGTCATGGTTTTAGTGATGATTTCCTGATGTGTTAGGTTTTTAATGACTGCAAAAAAGTGGTAAAAGGAGCCCATTGGTCCAGATTGCAGAAAGAGAGAGAAGTGTTAAAGGTCAAGCTTTACTTACTCATGTTAAAATTCAAACTAATATGATTTGCTATTTGAAAGTGAAAGAGTGAATATAGGGTTCTGGCTTTGAAACATTTAATGTTTTTAAAGCTTAATGAAGCACAGTGAATCAGTTCTGAGTTGAATTCTTTAGAAGTACCGATGACTACTCAAACAGCTTTTTAAACAAAGACTTTGAAAATTAAATAGGCTTTAAAGCAGATCTGAACTGTGCTCTGCTGCTTGACATTGGATGATCCATTGAGATTTGCTGTGTAGCATAATATGTACAAATACTCCATGTTGTGGAGTATGACTGTGAAAATATTTAATACTTTGAAGTAGCCTATGTAGATATTAACCATGTATTCTTAACAAGAGATTCTGTTTTATGTTGAGTTGTATGCACTTGCCCTAACCACTGAGTACAGTAACAAATTTCAGATGTTTAATACAAAGATGAATTAGCACCACTGAAATTATTTCCCTGTCATCAGCTACCCCTGTATTTTTTCTATATGTTAATGTGACCTGATTTAGTGTCTTACCTGTCTGTGATTTCTCCTTCCATAGAACTTGTATCTGTACTTACTGTATCAGATGACTTAGCAATGTGGCCTTGGAATGCTAAGCAATGTATGGATGTACTGGGTGTAAATGTTTATATATTGTACAGCACCTTTATACATACTTCTGAGGTTCTGACTAGAGAGAGACCTGTAAATCGCTCATTATTTTTTATATAGATATTAAAAAGAAACTCCAGTTCTTGGCCTGTTGGTTCTGCACTGTATAAAACATTCTTGGTTGACTTTCAGTGATATGATACTTTGAACAGCTAAATCGGACCCAGGTTTTACCCACAAACATAATACTCTTCTGGAAAACAAATGCAATTTATTATTGGCAGTTTCCTTGACTCTGTTCAAATAACAGATGTTCAACAAAGGTATTATAAAAATCATTAAGTCATGTAGAAAGAGTTGTTAATGATGAAATATTTGTACTGTAGGTTTATTTGTACATTTTGATATATAAAATTGTCATCTCCTTTTACATCTTACAACTTTTCCTTGTACAGAAAATAGCTGTAAACAATTTACTACCAAAAATTCTTACGCTATCTTACCCCTTATGTGAAAGAATGAAGCTATGAAAAGTTCCTCAGTTTTTGCTTTTTTCATTACTAATAAATAGAAGGTAGCAGTCAGTTAAGGAAAACATAAGCTTTACAGGTGTCATTAAAACATTTTTTCTGTCCTATGCCCTTTCTAAACATTGATCTACTTTTGGGTGAGGAAGTCTTTGCCACATCTCTTCCACTGAACTGATTCTCACAACAGATTTCTTCCTCAGGTATTCCAGTGTAAGGCACTGCTGCAGTGCGGAGCTGCAACAGCTGCTCAACACCACTGAGCAAAGCTGGTTGTCAGAAGGAGACACACTGGGATGCCCTCGGGACATAGCCCAGGCAAAGCATAACTGAGGTGTTACAGGGAATGAACAGAGCGAAACATTCCATAGTTGATAAATGCTTTACTGGTAGCAGCGTGTGTTGTGAGGTTGTTCTCATGTAACTAATGCTTTCCAGAAAATGATCATCATTTATTTGCAGAACACCCAACATAAGCCAGCCAGCAGCAGTCTCTTACATTGCTTAACTGTCAACATGGAGGCAGACAAATTTCACTGCTTCCTGCAGTAGTTCAGGATAAAGAGGCAAAGCCTCAAGCACACTGAGCTTTTAAGAAACACTCTTCAGCACATTCAGATAAATGCATCTAAGTATTACCAGTCTGAGCAGAGCTCTGAAGAAAGATGCATAAACTGAAACATTTCAGTGTAGCTCTAGAGCTCTCTGAAAAAGGATGATGCTAACTGAAACAGGAGGGCTGACTCATCACTTCTCACATGCACAGGATTCAGGCTTTACAGAAACAAGGCACCTGCAGCAATCACCAGTGTCCCTCCAGTAGGAGCTCTTGTATGGCTTTCAGTGTTTGATGCCCCACACAGTTCCATCTATTTTCAGTGTCAGCTTCTAAGTAGTAGGCCCCATTAATTCTGTTTTGCTGTGTATGCATGCCATGGGATGACTTCACTGATTAGACCAGCTTATTCTGTATGTTGTAGAACAGTAAAGCAGAGGGAGGGCTTTTGATACGTACACTGAGAATCCATTCAAAAAATTGTAATTAGTTTTCTGTAGTTTGAGAGCACCTCTGCTTTTTGCCCAAGCTATTAGTTATCTTCTCTGGTCTGTCTTCCTGGCAGAGAGGGCTGAGCGCTGATGTTTGGTCAGTTCACGGTTTAATTTTCCATAACTGAAAAGAGATACTAAGAGTGAGAATGCTTTTCATCTATAGGTAAGACAGTCTCTTTTGCCTGTCATGCATTGAATGCTCTGCTCAGCGAGCTCCAAGTTAAGTGTGAGCCACAGGAGGACTGTGTCTTCATTCCCAAGGGAAAGAACCCAGGATTCTGACTAACAAACAGCTTTAAGTGGGCACTGAAGACCTGAACAGGGCTGAAATTTGTCAGCCCTGTCCTCCCCCCAAAAAAAACCTGGCTCAGGGGATGGAGAGTCATTCAGCATGGTCTGTTCTCTGAACTACCATGTAGAGGGATCCTAATTCAAACCCACAACCTTTCTTCTGCTTGGGTGGGAGGAATTTGGCAATGGTACAAAAGTGACCCCTACAAGACATTTCCTGTTAGTTTGCATGGGAGTTATACTTACTCTGATATTGAATCCTAGAAGATCACTTATAACACCTGAGACAGCAGAGAGTATTACAACACGTGTTATATTGTAGATTAGTGGATTCATGGTCAGTCCATACAGCCTAAATGGAGTATCTAATTCCTGCAGTAAAAGGCAAAAAAAAGTCCATTAGCATTCATCAATACCAGAAGCACTTAATCCTCTGACTTTTAGCTTAGTAGTGGTGCTCTGGCAGATGTTGCTAACCATGCACTGCCTCTGTATCCTTTCTTAAATGTATGTACAGAAATTCCCACTCCATTTCAGGCCTCCCAGCTCAATGTTTTCTAACAAACAAACAGCCATGCTGAATCTGCAAGTCCCCTTTGTAGCAACACTAGCTGCATAAAAAGAGCTTGACACAACAAGCTGTAGAATTTGTCTAGACTAGTTTATGTGACTTAGACTATGCTCTTTCATTTCCAAATACCTACTCTGCTACTGTCATCAAGCTTCAACATCGAAGCTGCTGAAGGAGAACGAGATTCAAGCAGTAAGGAGACATGCTACGTTCATACTAGCCTCTCCTCTCACCTAAATCATAGTTAAGCCACTACTAACCAAATGTTTGCAGCGCTAATTAACCACACTGGTCTTCTATTGCTTGATCTTACACCACAGCTACAGAAGCACAGAAAACCTCCCTTAGTTAGTTCTCACAAACTTACCTAATCAAGAGACAAGAGAAATGGGAAGAACAAAAACACACAGTCATTGTCATTAATCATTGCTTCCATAAAATTTAGCAACTGTATATTTTTGGGGAGAGTAGCTTACCTTCAGTAGCTTTGTAGATAGTTTCAAAACATTGTTTACTAGAGACAGCTGTTCTTTCTTGTTTGGCTTCTTCTCCATCTTTAGGTATAAGTTTATCTGTGACAGAGACATTACAGATTGGATGTTAATATTCCAGCACTAGCCCCCAACTAATTTCCAAGGGAAATTAGAGCCATTTTTTGCAGTCTACTCTCACTCCTAAAGAAGTGATGCATCCACAGACAGGAATTTAGCAGTGAGAATATCATTCTTTTTCCAATTGACATGGCTAATGTGTTAATCCAGAGACAAAATAACCTGGAATTTTAGAATTTGAGTCTGTCCAAACATTTAACAGCTTGTCCTTCCCCAGTTGTACAGTGTTCTGTTACCTTCTGTCCAGCACAAGGGTTGATCTCTAAATTTTAAAATTTTATTCCAGTACTTTTTAAGCTGGTTTGAAATGCAGTAATTATATCCAAGCAAGCCACAAAGCCAAAGGGAGAATAAGCTAAATGGAGATACCTGCTCAGTGAGCAAGACTGAAATATTACTGTATTTCTTGTTGGTTTCAGAGCCCAAAGATGCCAGACGTAGTAAAAAAAGAAGTAGTGCTGCCTCCCAGATCAGGAACTCCCAGTTGTAAGCTGCATTCAGAAATGTTTTGTGACCCTTAAGAACCTGTATTGAAAAAAAAAAAGTGCCAGTGTCAATAACAAGTAACATGCCTGTTCTTGGGAGAAGCACAATAGCATTGCCCTTACTCCTCTTCTGAACAGACATCCATCCGTGCTCTACAGCTACTGACAGTTTTTCCCTTGAAGTGTAATTCGTTCATGTAACTAGGTTAAAGGAAAAGGTCTGGTTTCCAACCTGGCTTTAGCCTGGAATTTGATTTTTTTCTTTCTACTTACTTAGAAAAGGACACTTGTTCTTCCTCTTTCCAATTAACAGGCAATAAGGTGTCATTCCTTTCACATGTGCTTGTCCTACTGGCAGCCTCAGACCACCACAGCCAGGCTAAGTTGATTCTGCCTTTCCCAGTATGTACTCACTGGGTCTAACAGAGCAGGACTAGGATTGTCATTACTTCCTCCAGAAACCTGTGGCTTACAAAAGCAATCACAGCAGTGAGACTCAGTATCTACTAATCATCAGTCTTACTGCTACCGCCACTGCATCTTCATGGTATCAAGAACTTGCCTAAACATTATAACGAGTCTCTTGCCAAAACCAAAGAAACCAAGAGAAGCTCCAGCATTAACACTGCTTACTATAACAGAAGGTTTAGTGAAGGATTAAAAGTTGTAAGTAATAGTTATTGACCTGCTTTTCAACAACAGTGGTTAAAGAGGATGCTACAATTAGCCCTCTAAAGTAAGATGTCCTGTGAACATAGAGAATGAATATCTATTACCCACTAAACATTACAAAGCTTTTAAAAAATGCAAACCACTCCATGTTACTTTGGAGACAAACAGCTACAGTTCAAGCACTTTGTAGGTTGGCAAAAGAAAATCCTCCAGTAGTTTGGGAGTTTTCCACCTACTTTAAAAACAAAGTTAAAATCTCACCTGGGCACAGCATATAAAAGCAATTGAAAGAGCCAGTAAAAAGATTGACGATACAACAACATCCACAGATCGCTGGGGGCCTCGCCTCTACAGAAACAAAGACACTGTGTCAGGTCTAAGGCTTGGATGCAGAGCTGTGAAGTCAAGGCTCACCACAAACAAAAAATTGTTTAACAATTCAAGCAGTGCTGTCTGAAGTGCCAAACAACAGTGAGGTAAAGTACATGTACCTAGAGACTTGGTTACACTCTCTGTAATAATCAAATCTTGCATCAGAACTGACCTTTAGATAGGAACGAAGGGATAACCAGATCTTAATGTTTTCTACCTTCTTGAGTCTAAAGTGAGGAATTTCATATTTCCTGGCTTTCCGAGCAGATGTAATGTGACTAAAAAGCTTGGCAAACAAAAACCTCTGCAAATTAAAAACAAAAACATACACACACAAATGTAAATTAGTCTAAACCAAAAAAGATTGCTTGGGATTGCTTAGTGGTAACTGGCAGAAAAGGTTAGCTTTGTGGCACACTGAGGGAGCCTAACGGGGGACCTCAGTGCAAGACCTCTCTCAGATAAATAACTGTAGTCATCGTGGGATGGCAGAGGTAGAACTGCTATTGCTATGCACAATTAGCCACAGAGCTCTCGCTAAAACAGTAACACCAGCCTGCCTACCACACAATATTTACAGCCACTTCAACAAAGCTACTGCCCACAGTCATGAGGGAGCTGAACACAATGGAGCCAACTATCTAATGCTCCATCTTAGAACAGGCCAATTAAGTAGGCTGCTTCTTTTTCCCACACAGCTCCATGTTGAAGCATTCACTTCCATGCAGAGTGCCATTTCAAGATGTTAAAATGTTATTTTTCCCTTGGGGGCAGGGTAAGAGGGGGAGCACAGGGGTCAGGGAGGGTACTGACAGGTTTAAGTTGTGACTGATGAATAGGAGTCTTACCAGACTCCCCTACCTAAACTTCTCAGACATCTTACCAGCTTTGACACCTGAGCTTGCTAAGACATGCTTGTCTTGCCTGTGTCTCGAGAAAGTGTGGTTTTGGTAGAACACCTGCCTCAGGGTTCATGAAAGGGAACAGCACATTTAAACCTACCTGTTTGTATGTCCTCTCAGCAACACACATCATGAAGAAAAACATCCAGGTTAAGCAAAGTCTTTCAAGGAAGTTGATCGCAGACAAAACAATGACAGGGGTGCTAGCAGGTGCTCCACAAAAGATGTGCAAAAGCTCCTTCAGAGAAATGGAGCACAGCTGCTCCAGGTTATCAGTGCGAAAGAGTCTGTAGAGGAATGGTAGGAACGCTAATCCAATGGTGATGACATTTCCCAGCATTTGATACCCCACTCCTTGCTGGTAGGCATTAACCTGGAAAAATAGGATGATTACCTGGGGTTTTGCATCAAGGAAAAGGCATGCTGTTGTGACAGCATTAATTCTATCAAGCTTTCAGTTCCCCTTCCCTTCAGAGGACATGGCCTAAAATAATTCCACCCATTTCAGTACAACAACAATCAATTAGTCAATAAATAATAAAACCACCACCTTCAGCACACTGCAGAGACACAGCCAACAATAATCAGCTCTGATTAGTCTTCAGCAGGACCTCCTAAATTTTGGTTTATGCCATTTTTAAGTAAGAACATTTGGGACAACTGTATTTGCAGTTGAGGAAGGACCAGTTTTATACCGCACCTCATATTTGCATGTATAGCTATTTTCATGTTTCTTGGTGGTGATTTTTTAAAGTGTGAGGGAGAGAGGTTGCAATGCCTTACAGCCCTCTTACCCTGCTCATGATAATCCCACTGATCTCCAGCACAGACATGTCCACCTTCTTACAGTCATTCCCTTCCCAGATCAGTGCACTCACTTTTGCAGATGCTGGACTTGTATTCTGCAGCCAAAACAAATGGTTCTATAAAAGAGAAATGAATGCAAAAGGTGTATAATCTATTTCTGTCCTGCTATTAAATAATGCTTTTTCCTAGAAAGTATTTAGATTGAGGGGGATTCCTAATTTGTCTTTGGGTAAAATATTTTGTTTGGGGATGCAGTGGTCCAGATAATACCAGTGGGGAGGAGGGAGCTGATCACTGATACTGTTTAGATCATTCCAGACTTCCATGTGATTAGCACAGTTGACAGAATGGGCTCATCCAGCATTAGGTTGCTCACATTAGACCAACAGCATTCAGATGTGTCTCATATTAGTTGGGCAGACGGGGCGGGGGGGAAAGAGGGGAACCTGAAACAGGGAAAAAAAAGAGGGGGGATGTGGAAATCTTTCACAGTGTTCTCAGCTACTGGATACAAATCAACAAACCTGCTGGAAAACGTCTTCCTTCAAATCCCGCCTGGTACCTCTTACAGTCATTTCCTCACTGTCACTGGTGCAGGACGAGCGACACTCTGGCCCATGAAGCAGATCATCCCAAAGCATGTCTTCTGTCTCAGAGTCATGGCGAGTACTTTCTGAGTCTCTCCGGGTTGCACTACAGCTCCGGGATCCCACACTAATGCAGGACCTTGAGTCCTTTGAAGCAGAGCAAAATTTACACAGCACAGCCCTGCACTGTTTGCAGAACCACCTCCTCTATCCCCCCCCAGCAATTGGCTAAATCAGCTTCCAGGGGCAGCTGAGAACTCCCAGACACACCCACCTGGTGCAAACTGTTGTGACAGTGTTTGCAACCAGCATTTCTAGACAGGAAGGCACACAGGTAGCATTAGTTCCCCACCTCTATTCCCAACTTTACAAAATAAAAATTGACTTATTCGTTCTAATGCAAAAGTTTTCTGGCTTTTGCATAATCTATTTTAAAATTTCATTCACATTTTATATTTAGTTATAGATATTTATATTCATAATTTGATATTAATATATTTTATTTCTACTTTATTTTCAGGTGGGGGGAGTGGCAGGGGGCAAAATAAAGTAATGAAGTGAATGAGTATGTATCACAGAATGGATTTACTCTTTCATTTTAAAATCAAACTTTATTAGCCTAAAAGCTACAATGCAGAGCTGCCTCCCAAACCACAAGACCAATTGTAGCAATTGAACATGAGCAATTAGAGGCAGTTTGGACCATACTACGCTGCCAATAGAGTGATTTTGTTTGTTTTGTTTTTGTTAAAAAAAAAGTAACCTACTCACAATTGTGAACAAAGTTTACAAGCTGCAAACAAGCAGGGAGGGAGGCCACACCTTATACCTGAAGACGCAGAAGCACTATCATTTACTAATGGTCTGTTTTGATGGGGAGGATGCCCCTACACTGGCCAGGCTCAGTAAAGCTGTCTCTTGAATTTATAACCGTACCTGACTATATAACGTAGATTCTAGTTCAGATTCCACGACACTATCAGAGTCTCTGGCACCTTTCAGGGCTTGCTTGACCTGCCAAAACAAAGGAAAACCAGCTCATTATCCACAGCAAAAAATTTTGTGGAAAATGGCATAAATTCAACATGAGTACCTGTGAGACAGCCTGGTTCAGAGAAACAAGAGGCCTCTTCTCTTCATAGCTATTGTCACTGGAAGCCCCTTCTACATTCTGGTGTAACAAGATCCGTTGTGCCATTGCTTCAGCATCCTCCTCACTCGAAAGCTCATCAGAAACGCCCCCTCTGTTGGTGCAGTCATCCTAGAAATACAGCAGTCAAAATAAGACGAAGGCACCAATAAAGGACCAGCCTGAATTGCATCAAACCAAAGGTTCAAAGCCAGTCCTCCTACTACACTGGTATACACAGTAATCTCTTATTACCTGCAAAAGCCAGCAGAAGATGATCTCCATAGAATATGCAGAAACAGAATCCAACTTAGCATCACAGAGACATCACAAATTTTAGCTCCTTACCCCCAACTCTTGCCTTGCCTTGCCACAGAGGTAATGAGAGGGAATCTTGGGCAGGGTGGAGCTGGATGTGGGGCAAAGGCACGAAGAGGCAGCAGCAGCTGTCGGCTGTATCTTACCAGCAACCTTAAGCCCAGGAGAACAGATGTGTCTACAAGCTGGTGGCTAGCAGGCCCAAAATCATGAGATGTGTCCCCCTACACCTAGCTCTGCTCCTCTCCAAATGCCTAGAAATAGAGAAGTTGGGATGGCATAGTACTACGGTGTCCCACACAGATTCTAATCTAAGTAAGTTCTTCACGTGTGAGTTCACGCCTTACCGACCCAGAAGAGCCTCAAAAGTAACTCCACAAAGCTTTATGTTTTAGAGATTTCAACAGAGGTAACGATGCTTTAGTTCTGTCTTTCTCTCTCCCAAGGGATGTTTCAGTCTTTACTTTCCTGCCTCCCCTCTGAGAGGATATTGTGGGGAACTGTTTGCAAGGTGAATTATTTTACACAACTGCTTTTAAAAATTGCCAATTTATGTATTTTTAATTATTATCAGCAGTCTTCCTTAACTGAACATCTTGTGATGGGAAGTCTCTACAACTAAATGAGTGCTTTGGTAGAACAGACATTTTCCAGGATTATCTGTGTTTGACATACTTGACTATTCTAACAGATGAAAAGATGCTGACAGTAAAGTATCAGCAGCATGTCAGCTGGTCAATCCAGAAGTAGAAAGGGTTTTTAAGGTTTCCTATAGGCAAGCAAAGATTAGTAGAAGAAGAGTATCTTGTATTAGATCAAACCATACAGTTAAGTATCAACAACCTTTTGGGCACATACAGAATATACTGAAATTTGCAACTTCAAATGGATCTTTCCTGCCAGTACCTGATGGCTCTTTTCCTCATCGGAAAGTTTATTTTTCTCTTTGAAGTGCAACAGCCTGTATTCAGATCTGGCATGTCTGTGTTTAATGCCATTATTCACAGCATTCACACCATTTTCTGTCTCAGTCCCTTTCTCAGCTACCAGCTTTACTCTTCTAATCCTATGAGAGAAAATACAATTAAATGCTTTTATGTCAGAGAAAAACTCTTTGAGGAAAACATCATGGTCTCTTTCACTTGCCACACGGGTACAACATTAAACACTATAGCTAAGGGAATACATAATTGTCGTCTGCTGACAGGCTCTTTGTGTCCTAATTCTGTTGAAGAGACTTTTATCTGCTTCACTCTCACTGGGTGGTTCTTCGTAACGCTAATAGCATCTTAAAACTTCTAAACCAAGAGGAAAATTTTTTCTTATTATTATTTTGAAAAAAATAAATAAGAGCCATTCAGAAGACAAAAAGTCCTCATCAAGAGAAAGGACCTGTCAGTTGAAAACTCATCAAGAAACTCACCTGATAAAACGGTAGAAGACAATGAAGTATTATCCCAAACAATCTATCCTCCTTTTCCTCGAGTTACTTTTAAAAAAAGTAAGGTGGTAAAGTGGGATGACTATCCAAGCAACTTAAACTAGAAGGCACAATTGCTTCTGGAAATCAGGTAAGACAGTAATATAATTTGAGCATACATATTCAAGAAAGGTCGCTTATCTGATAAATAAAAATAAGCTCTGCCACTTTCAGCAACTCATCTAACACTCAGTTTTAGCTATACTGTGAGATATGATATGATCTCCTAATAAGGACATACTAAAAATTCACGAGGAATCAGCCTCCTACAATACCAAGAGTGCTTTTAGTTCAAAAGAAACTAATTGGCAGACTTTGGGGATATCAGTGACAGTATACATTCTGTCTTCATTTTCCAGATACCAAATTGTTCAGTGTCATTACAAATACAACAAAACCCAGTGAAGATCACATACCTCCTTCGGAAAAGCATACTAAATAAATTGTTAAGAATGGATGCAGATTCAGACTGCTCTTCTTTACTGTTTTTGTCAGGAGAAGACCAACTGTTCCCATCGACACCCACAGATTTGCGTAACTTCCTGATTTTTTAAAAAAGGAGAATTAAATTTGCATAGCAACCTGCTTTTAGGTCTTTCTTAGAAGATCTCAATCAGATCTGAACAGCTTTTTAGATGCTATTTTTCTTAAGTCATGCAGACAAAATGCTTATTTCCAAATAAAATAAATTGTATTTGGATTAACAGAATCTATGCATATACCCACAGGACACCAGTACATCTCTAGTAAAGGATGCAACAGACAAAATCTGGACAAAATTTTTGCTGTAGAAATCTAATGGAGGCATGACCCTATCCACATCCATCATCTTGTGTTCAAAAATGCTGTATCAGTGTTTAAACTGACTCAGACACCTAACAGCTACAGATTTAGTCGATGGACTGTAACATCTCCCACATGCACAAACAAATTGCCAGCAATCTCTGACATCATTTCCCTCTTCTCAATACACATCAGCAATTCCCTGCAGTTAATGCCAAAGCAGGATACTGGACTGGTTTGAAAAACCTCGAAGATGCCTTTCTGCGCAGAATGCCATCCTCTGGCCACAAAGAGAAACTGTATTAAAAAGCTACGTTAGAAAGAGAAGGCCCAACTAGCAACTAAACCAGACCTATCACACCCTGGTATATTTGCAGCATTTGTCCTGATTATGAGAATATTACAAATGAGACAGAAAATATTCGTTTTCACATTTATGGTTAAATAACATTTACATAAAAGCAGAACAGAAGGTATTTACCCGTTAACTTCTACCATGAGCAATCCATCACATGCTTTGACGACAAGAAACAAACCCATTACCCCGCTCACCTCCTCCGCCTGCTCAGTCCGTTGTTTCCTGAAGGTTTGTTGATCTGGGTGGACACTATTTGACAGTGAACAGTTCCCATCAGCAACATAAGGCACATTGGTCCCATGACTTCACTCGCATTCACAACAGGCATCATGAAATACAACACAACTGCTATGACTGAAAAGGACAAAATTGTATCAAATGCAAAAATTAAGAGCATGGCCCAGTTTTTCTGTCTTAACTATTTACTTTTACTCTTGTTTTATAATTTCTGCAAATACTAGTGCCACACATCTTGACATCTACGTTAAGTAGGTTTCAGACAGGATCCTTACACTTTAGGTTATGGACTACAAAACGATGTCACATTCCTTGCAGAAAAAGGATTGTGGCACAGACTGCTGCCACCCCTTACCTTGCATAACATAGAGCACGAGGAGCCACATAAAAATACGCTGGGAGGTAACCTGTATCCACCACTGGCTGAATAACGGAAAAAATACAACTCTCACAATTCCCTTCCGAGTTAGTGATGTCCAGGGAATTTCAGGCTTGGCTTTGGCAAATGTAGAGCCTTGGAATGAAAGGAAAAACAAACAAGTCATTAATCGTGAATTTCAAGAATTTCCTTACTTATTACTTCCTCTTTGGCCACGAACAAGCCCTGTCAGAAGGCTGCAGTTCAGAAGGGTGACAGCAGCCCAACTTCAGGCACTCGTGCGGTCTACACAGCTCCAACAGCCGCGTCTAAAAGCAGCCACCCGTCTTATCTTGGCGCCCTGGCTGGTGACCCTTCCCTACCTACCTAAGTCTACTCTCACCAACCACTTCCCACTGCTTTTGCTGAGCCACCCCGAATTCCTCCCGCCTCCGCTTTCGGGTTTCTAACGCTCCTTCTGCGCCAGCGCTAGCAAGCACGGGCACCCTGCCCCGCTGCTGCTGCCAGAAAGCTGAGCGACTCGGGCTCCACAGCCGGAGAACACACACCTGCCCGGGAGCAGGCTCTCCTCTCGCGCACCGCTCACCTCTGATTAAATCCACGTCGATCAGGTCCGGCTGAATGTGACCCTTCTTCTTAGGCTTGTTTTTGAAGCCCTGCGAAGCCGAAAACAAAGGCCTGTTAGCCGCCAGGGGAGCCGAGCCCGGGCTGCGCCCGGCCGCCGCCGTTACCTTCATCTCGGTCTGCTCGATGGACTTCTCCCATATCTGCTGGTCGTAGGCCCCGATCTGGAAGGAGAGGAGGCTGAGGGCACGGCCGGGCCCGCGCCCGCCCGCGCCGCGCCGCACTCACCTTCTTCTGGTACCAGGAAATGGCATCCCTGTCTCGAGAGGCCATGGGGCGCCGCGGGGCGCAGGCGAGCTCGGGGGCGGCCCGGCCCCGGCCCCGGCCCCGGCCCCGGCCGCCGCCCGGGCCGCTGTTACCCTGGAGACCGCCGCAAGCCCGGTGCTCGACTGCCTCCGCCTGCCGCCAGCCCGCCCCCGCCCAGGCGGAACTAGGAGAGCGCCGAGCCCGGCTCCGCCCCGGCCGCCCGCCGCCGCGGCCCTGGAGCAGAAATAAGCAGCCAGGCAGGTAAAGGACAAAATCAGACTTTGTTTATTAAAAAAATACTTTACAGGAAAAAATTCTATGCATTCCGTTGGACTATTTTACAAAGAAATAGCTTAACAGTTTGACACTGGTGTACAGTCAGCTACTGACAGAAATGCACTGCGTTAGAGTATTCACACAGAGGCTCGGGCGCTTCATCGCCGCACTACTCATGGTAAAACCTCTTCGAAACACTTGCTAATGTCAATAAATATACTAAGGCCGCACAAAGCAAACAGTCTTCCAGGCAATTGTACACGTCCTCTGTAGGCAGAGACCTTAGATAAATTAAAACCACAGAAAAAAATCGTAGCTGCCAATCAAAATCAAATTAAATCACAAAAACAGCAATACAGAAGTCTCTTTACATGTTGTACAAAGAAATCAGAAGCATATGTATTTCTCTCAACACTCGGAGTGCCCCACAGACACCTCCTCAGCCCCTCCACCATCGCCCCGAGGCTGCCACGCGCTGCTGGGATTTCTCGCCAGGCAGCACGAGAACGCACAGGACGAGTTTTTGGGGGAGAGAGGCCACTTTTCTGGAGTAGAAACGAGCCTTCCCCTCTCCTCGCACCCCTTAACCAAGTACAGGGCTGCCAACACTTAGCACTCCTCGGAAACTACAATTCCAGGGCTTACACTCGGTTGATTCGGCCCTGAAAATGGCCAGGCCACACCAGATTTAAGGACTTGAGCTCACGCCTGTGGGAAAAGCTCTGACAATTAGCCTTGTCCAGGGGAACTAAACTGTAACATGCAGGAAAACTGACAGAGCACAGTAGAAAGCCCTTCTTCTGTACGGCAAGATCTATACCTGTGAAAAACGTCGATTATGAATCCCCTGAGAACACTTCACCGAGTGTCCCACCTTCCTGGAAGAGAACGTGTCAAGTATCTGCACAAAATGACTTGTAGCATGTCTAAAGGAGAGAGGAAACTGAAACGAACTGGTATTTCATATCTTCAAATTGCATTTTGCTAGTCCACTTCTAGCACAACTGAGCTACTCACCTTTATCCCAAGTGACACTTTTAAACAACAGCACTTCATTTAAAATAGAAACCTCAGCCTGAGTTACATATCTCGAAGCTGATCACTCTTTACAGACAGAGCGCTTGGTCAATTAGCAGTCGTCCCCAGCATAAAGCAGGAGTGTTTTCTCCGATCAACTGACACACATATCACAGGGCAGAACCTCATAAATGGATAATTGAGGATTTACAGTAACTGACCAGCACATTCATATTTATGAACTGTTCTGTTTCTATCCGAGTACTACTGAGAACTGTTATAACAACCCATGAAATTCGCCAAAGTTTGATTATCTCATTATGTAGGCTGTTTTATGAAATCTTAGAGAAATTCAAACAGCCAGCTATTTAAGATGAGACATTCAGAAATATTTACTTGGACCTACCCAGAGATTTGTTTTGCTCAGCAAACACTAAGTGGCTTGAACTCGTTACTTCATTTCTAAACAGCTATAGCTTATAAAAATCAGTATTCTACATGTCTTCTTCTGGAAAACATTTGCATCTTTCACATCAAGGCATTGTTCTAATTCTGCTCTGTTGTTTTCAGTCCAACTGAAGCGATCTTGAAGCAATGGCTAGACAGTATAGCGATCAGCTTCATAAGCAATCCCTCTCATACTTTACATCCAGAATTGGGGTGGAGTTTGAAAGTAGGATGTCAGTTTGGTTAAAGTGTACCAAAGCTAATGATGTATTTAGGTAACAGATTTTTATAAAGTTTGCTCCTCTCTTCCTCAATCTTCCAAGCATGCTAGAACAGCATCAGCAACATTCAAGTCATTTGAAGATACATTTCTGTATTTAAATCTGGGGTTAGATATTAAGTTAGTAATTGAATGGAACATAAAGAGAGCATGATACTATTGATCATGTCCCTCCATCCAAAGAGGTAAGTCAGAGCATTTTCCAGGTATTCAGGCTGTAGTCATAGATTTCACTAAAGCTACAGTTTTGAAAGCAATGTGAGCCACTGTGGTTTTCTTCCTTTATCCATTTAAAAACATGCTATTAGAATTTACAGAGGACTTCCAAACTGATTCCCTCTTTGTTCTATTTCAACTTTCACTGTAAAACAGACAAGTTGGTGTATGGGGGCTCTTAATCTGTTTATTCTGCCTTTAAAGTTATGTTTGCAGACTCACTGTAGTATCTGCAGATTTGTCAATTCCTGAGTGATTGTACGCAGTGCTGGCTGTCAAAGAACAGCCACCTTATTGATGTACCTCTACTGACACGACCAAAGAATAGCACATGTGAGAAGTGAAATGGGCACTTGGAAGACTAGCAGACTTCGTAAAAAGGAAAGAACACCCTTGGGTAATACGATCCTTGAATGTGAAGGGTGAACTGAAACCACTATTGCCTGTGAGGAATTTTACTTTGCACAACCCTTAAAGCTATGAAATTCCTCTCAACGTAAAAAGTGGAAAAAACCCACCAGAGAACAGACGGCTCATTTATGAACCAGTCTGGGTCATCTAGAATTTCTGCTAAGATTAAATTACAACCCTGCATGAATCACATTACTTTTCATCATAAAAGCTTTCCATTCTAACACCTTATTTACACAGATTACTAAACAAGTCACTACCACTTCAATCTGTAAATTAGTTTTAAATTGAAATATTTCCTAGTCCTCATTTTTGTACCGAAGACAATACATACATACACATAAGGAGTAATACAGGTTCTAACTAATCACTGCAGTATCTTCTGATGATTATTTTTCTATCAGTTTAAAATAGTGACCTCTACACTGAGGTGCTAATATGTATATAAAAGCCTACACAAACAATATTGCACAAAGTAAGATTTATAATAGAGTAACATATTTTAGAGACCCTTATAAAGAGAAGAGTAACAATTGATATTAAAAAGATGCATCCAGAACTAACACAGCATCTTTGCTTTTGTCTAGTCTAACATAGTGTTTCAAATCTTTCCTACCCCAGTGAGGATTAGAACAAATAAAAGTTATCTGGAAACAGCTTAAGTTGCACCAAAACCCAACTTGTATTCTAAATGTGGGGAGGGGGGAACGGAGAGGGAGAAAGGGACAGGACTCTTCCTTTTGATGACTGGAAAGGGCAGTAATAAATGGGGTGAGTGAAAGTCAAATACAGATTACACATTAACATCCAGAAATATTGAAATATTGTTTAAAAACTGTCAACAGCTGACACTCTACGCATTTAGCATGTGCCACTGATTTTTCCACAGTACCTGGGCACCCAGAAGCTACACATGGAAAAAACAGTCCAATGCCGTAATACTTTTTATTGTGAAATAGTTAATACAGAACTTCCTAGAATAAGGACAGCCTTACTGTGTAAGTCAGTTATCAACTCAACGCTATTATATTAAGTGCATCAGTACAAGGGAAAGTGTGGTTCCATTGGACACATTACGACCTGATCAAAACAAGCTGCCAAGTTGGTTAGTATTTTAAAGCCTTAAAGTGCTCAAAGATAGCAGTTTCCTCCACAAGACTACCAACAGGTTCTCTAATTTTAACACTAGTATTAATCATGTTCAGGGAAGATGTATTTTGGAAGCAAAACCCTCCCATCAAACAGCATAAGCAGTGCTATCAAAAGTGTTAGGTCAGTAAGTCATTGCATTTCAACGGGATCAGACACTTTCTTCAGTTAATTTTACAGATCACCTTTGTAGGAACTGTAAGGAATAGATATCAATTTCTATAGCTTGTATATAAACCCAACTTGTATATAAACCAACATGTCAAGTACAGACATACCAAAAATTTCACAAATCATCAAAAGTGCTGTGCGCCTTTTTTTTTTTTTAAGCAATTAAAATGAGATGGGAAAGTCACTTTGCAAGTCTTCTACAAAAGCATCACTTTCTGGTGAAGATTAGAGATAAAGTAAAAGTAGGGAAGTAACACTGACCAATGTAGTTCAATCATTTTATGTTCCTGGAGGAATTTCATTCTGACTTTGAGGAGATATTCAATATCTCTTTACTTAAACAGAAAGAAGTGGTAGACCACTGTTACAGGTTGTACTAAGGGGTTAAAATACAACTTGAATTTTGCATAATCTGTGTAAAAAAGATATGCTTGACATTTTGGAATGTCACCTTTCTTTATAGAATTATAGGCAAGATTTCTCCAATAAAACATAAGCCAGTTATAAAACTATAACTTCACATCAAAATTTTAAAAAGTTGTTAAAAAAATGTTTGATTATATACATATCACACAGAAGAGCCTGCATGATCCTGTGGATTGTGTTGCTGATCAGACTCTATTTTAAAACCTGGAAGGGGCTGGGCCACCTGATCTGGTTGCACAAGTCCTGATATTGAAGAAACAGAGGAGAGCACCCCTGTTGTAAGCTGCATTTCTATACCTGGTTCTTCAGACTCTTTTTTTACACTCACACACTGGGGTTCACCTTCTGACTCTGTCTTTCCAGGAACACTACTGTTCAAGCTTGAATTGCTTTCTGCATTTTCAGAAGTCTCCCCCACAGGGTGATATTGTTTAAGTCTTATGTGCCAGGCTAAGCTGCAGACTGCTGACACTGTTTTGAACTGATGAATGACATTTCTAGGGATGAAGTAGATGTCATTGTCACACAACTGAATTCTAGCATAGCGAATGCCTTCCCGTCTCATTTGGTTTAGTTTGGCTTCATCCACCCATTGAACACACTGAGAGAAGGAAAGATGGTTAAAGTTAGTGGTATATCCTGTTTAGAGTAAACAATTCAGTATCCACCTATTTTCAACATACTTCATGTCTAAATCAGAATGTTTCTGTTTAACAGGTAAAACTTCAAATTTAGATGAGAATTGGACTTTTAAAATATAATTTATCTAACATGCACATCTTAGAGGACAATGAACAGTTAAGAGCATTCTACAGTTATAGTTGAAAACAGTAAGTTTGACGTGAGCTGCATTGTTTTGGCTGACAGGACTGAGCTTAGATGCCTTCACATCCTAAGACAACATCAGTATATTAGAAAAAGCAGAAACAGGCATACATGACTTCTTAACTTCTAATTGTCTCTATTGCACATTATCATGACTCACAGCATAAATCCCAGCTTGGTGGAACGGAAAAGCAGTTGGACTAGACTAGATGATCACTGTAGGTCCCTTCCAACTGAACTATTCTGTTCTGAAACATGAGAAGGGAAGTTGCCCAAGAGAGCTGTGAACTGAGGGCCACTGAGGATACAAAAGGGCTGGCTATACAGTGAACCTGAAAACTGTCGAAAGCTAATTCCAAAATGCTAAGAATGAGCTGTCACTAGGGAAAATTCAATACCTGTGACACTGGAGGTTCATGCAGGTCCAGCTGAAGTCTCTGCACAACATCAGTGAAATCTTCAGCGTGAAAACAGACCACATCTTTGGTTATACGAGGCTGGTCACTCCTAGAAAAAGATGAGAATTCCAGGAATTTTTAAAGGATTTGAGTTATAGAGAATTGTAGGTCTTTCCAGCAAAATTTTTCATTGAACCAACAACCTACTTCAGTTTTACATGGCACACAAAGTCTCATCGCTTCTCAATACTCTTATTATTTTGAAAAGGAGGTATAGGTCACAGATTTCTCTTGGGTTTTTTTCATTTTACTTCTTTCTTGATGCACACACAACAGAAGTGATGTTTTCGTGGACAAATACTATACCGAAGTGTCCGAGAACTAGGTTCAAATTGCCACTATCAAAGTTCTCTGTATGTTCTAGGAACCACAATTTGCCTCTATTCTTCCGATCTACAGTAGAGAATTATTCTGTCTAATTAAAGGAAAAATGTAAAGTAATAAAGTAACTCTGAAGCCGAAGCAATGAAGAGCTGGGTTTTATTCAAGGGCTGTGAATCAGAGTAAGGAAGTTCTGGTGCCTTTTATTCATATGAATATCTAACGATATTGCTAATGATGCTATCCAATTTCTACTGTAATTGCTAGAAATAACAGTGATGCAAGTCTAGTTTCTCTGCAAGGTCAACAGCAATGTCCTGGGTACATGAAGTGAGAAAGCACTGTAGCTGTGAAATTGAGTTCTTAGATTACTGTTACAGAAGTTAGCATTAATATACCTATTCAGGAAAAGACAATCACAGATGATGGTCCAGGCATGGTATCTTAGGCTTATTTTGCATGTCACTAAAATTTTCTGCAAACTGCTTTTACAACTTTTCTACTGCCTCAAGAGGGAAAAATAGTAGGTATACAGCTTGTGTTTTTCCAGCTCTAGACAGCATTTATCTCATTACAGTGTTTAAACCATTTCTTTGACTAGGCTTGTTTTCCAAGGAATTTTCTTTTTTTTAAGAGAGGAAGCGTTCAGAATTACCCCATCCTACTAGAATAGTTGCATTTCAGTGGCACTTACCATTCCCCAAACTGTACAGCCTTCAGAACACCTACAGCAGCTGTACTCTGCCAGTCAAACCCTTGACCCACATGATCAGCGTGAGCTCTTGTTCTGTCTTCAAACAGAACTTCACGGGGCTCACTGGTCCGAGGTAGGTACTGGAGATTCTTTATTTCGTTCATCGACCTACAACACGACAAAAAAGACATACTAAAAAACATTTCAGACTACTCAAAATTAAACACTTGTATTAAAATAATCTTAAAATGTTGTGTGCTGCAGGCTTCAAAATCAAAGACCAAAGCACTTCCCTCTGATTTCTTCTAGGTGTCTATTCGACAAAAGATGGAAACAAATACAGCAAAGTACAATTCAGGTTATGAGATCAAACTTTATAAAACAAATCCTATCACCAAAAAAAAATTTTTTGTTCACTTGTGCTGAAAGAATTCTCCCAGGCATTTAATGGTATGTGAAATAGAGCTATTTTAGTAAGATACTGAAGTTTAGTTATTTGGGAGTCCATCCAAAAATTCTGCTTGAAATTACAATTAAAATATGCTTTCAATTCTTTATCTCCTAAAATTTTTTCTACAGCATACTCTGAGAAAGACAGTAACTACATACGTATACCACAATATTTCCTGAGAAGGCAGACTGTATTACAAGTGCTTTACCACTAACATTAAAACGTGACATGAACAGTTTAAGGATCTCTGCTCTTTTAGAGCATTTCACCTGCCCCCCCCCACCAAATTAGTTCTTTCCACAGAAATAAGATGAATAAAAGAAGTCTCCTGAAGGATAATAAAAAGAGGTTTCAATCTAGGACATATTACTATGAAAGTGGTGAAATAAAATAACTATCACAAATAATGTATTTGGCTTATCCACTGAGCCAATTTGAAACAGAAATTAAAAACTTAAATCTGTGAATCAACCTTCTGAAGAACTAGTTACACATAAAGTACTTAAGTTTTGTTCTCAAATCTAACACAGGCATAACTGCAATGTTTTACCTTTAATAACGGAAAGGAAAACAAAACATTACCGGCGCCGTTTGAATGGCGATTTTGGCATATCAGCTGTTGGGATCATCTGCTCTCCTGGTCTCACCCACATTATGGGACCATCATCACTTTGTGACCTGCACTGAAGTCTGAGACTAGAAAGAGTACCCCAGGGCAAAGTCATCTAAAAGAAAACAAAAACAAAACAACCCACAAAACACACATAACACAAAACACTGGGTGAGATAGAAAAATTAAATGATGCCTTTGGTAAAACTGGTTCAAATTTGCTGTCAAAAGAATTGCATAGAAACTAAATTAAGTTTGAGAGGTAAAATGTATTCCAAGCTAACTTTATTGAACTTAGTTTATAGGAAGTAGATTATTATGTTGTGCATACATATGATAAACTGTATTTTTTTTTTTGTTATTTACACAACTGTAGCTACCTAATTCAGTACCTTTTGTTTGGACACAGGAAAGAACATACCTCAGTAGCCTAAATAGCATATCAATAGAGAAAATACTTTATGGTTTCTAATTACTTAGGAAAAAATGAAATGTAGTAAATGTTTAATTATCTATAGTGCTTTAAAAAAAACACCACAAGTTACTGCTTACTCTGAGAAATGGGGATTCTTCTAACATATCTAGAAATTCTGGGAAGTAGTCCCCAACTTCTTCGTCCACTGCTCCAACAAGACTGATCTGCCGCATTGGTCCTGCTCTGTACGTTCCACAGCAGTACGTTCGATTGACCTGAGTGGCAGAAAGGAAAACACAATACCACCACAGCTTTAGTTCTGTTACAAGAGATTAAAATTGATTAATATAATACACTAGACCACAGATGAGATGAATCTTGGACTCATCTACACAACTTATCTACATCTATTTCATTAGAGATGCCTTTGGGAATATGCACAGAGTCCGACCACTTAGAACAGATGCCCATAGGTTATCCCAAAAGAACTCCTGTCTGTATTACTGATAGAAAATACTTGTAAAGTTCGAATAATAGGAAGTTAGTTATTTGACTAATTCAGGAACAATTCAACACTTCCAGGCTGACTTGAGAAATCCATCACACAAAGTTTCATTGTAACTCAGTCTTTCACCAGCAAACTTAAAGTCTCCACTAATTTGTGCAGTTGACTGTTGCTTCTACATTTCAAACTGTACGCTATTGAAATATATGTGCTTTCTTCATTTCAGTCATGTCCTAAAGGCCTTTTCCCTATGACCGTAGTGAAAAATCTAGGTGTCCTTCATGCAGCAGTTTTGATAATATTGCTACAGTGTATACAAAAATTTGGACAAAAAATTGAGGAAATGAGAGGTCTAGCTAGAAATCCAGTGTCCATGTACAACAATTTTAGGATTACCATTTGCAATATAACCTGCTGACACTGCTGTGGCCAGAAACACTTTAATCTCACTTACAGCTTTTTGACATTCTCTGTAGCACAGACTGTCCCACTTTCCCTGGTCATCTGGAAACTTTTCTTGCCAATTTTCTGTTCCCAGAGGAGAACCACTGACAAGACTCCAGTGTTCTCTAGTCTCATCCTATGGACTTGGGCTATAACATGCCATATGGCCACAGAGTAGGTTGTACGTAGATGCTGCACCTATTCAATCTTAAAAGATCAGAAATTCTGCCATAATTAGTCTGCTTTGTATACTTGATTTGTCTAAGCCCCAACCTTCCATCACTCTTCAACAGCCTCTCTACATTCATCAAGTGGTTCTAGTGGTGAAAAACTACAGCCAATCTCCATGGCTAAGTGGTGGGACAGGTACAAAGGACAGAAGGTTTATAGCCATGTTCAGAAAGCGTAATATCTTTTCTAAGTATGAAAGAGCTTAGTTTTAAGTTTTTTTAGTTTTAAGTTTTGCAGTTTAAGCCAACAAAACAGATGTAGTTAAACTACTCCATGAAGTTGTTAAAGGTAAATTAGGAGACTAATAAAGCAAGAGTTAGTTACTGCTGCAATTTTATCCTCTAGCAGCAACCACAGATATTTAGCTTCTTAATTATAGGAGTTTAGCTTACTCCTATTTCCAGAGTCTTCCTTTCTTGAGCTTTGTATATATGCAGTTAGCAGTTCTGCATTGGTTGCACACACATTTTAATTAAAAGCTAAGTCAGAGCCAAAAACAACTTCACATACAGCTTTATTCCTCAGCCCTAAGCCAACTACTGCACCACATCACCTCTACCTGCATGTGTAGAAGTTTATATCTTAAGTCACTCACTGAACTTCTGCTTGAAGTCCATCAAGACCAGCAGGAGCCGCTGAATGAACGCATACTAACTTTCTGGGTTTGACAATACAGATTTTATGAACCAGGCACTATCTTCAGAGGCTGTTAATTCTTCTTGGCTGTTGCCCTAAGAGAAAGTTAAGTCTCCAAATCCTATTAGAACATTACTGGTAAAGGTTCATATCTAACATCAGTAAAGTGGAATGATTTCACCAGCTAGCTAGAATGCAATTCAAAGTAGTATTGGAAAACCACAGCATTAATCTAGTTCTGTGCACCTACAGGAAAACTAAGGGCTGAAATGTTCTTGTCCTTAAGCTAGTTAAACTCAACTGCTTGGTACTATTAAAGCAAGTAGAGACAGACTACTTCTAGATGAGATTTGTTCTATTGAAGCCACCTGTTGAGATTCACTAGTATTTCAGAGGTGTTTGTCACAAGTTAAAATGAACTGCAGTTTTTCTTTATAATGTTTTCAAAGGTAATGAAAAACTAGAAGCTTTAACATTATTTTTTTTAATGCACTGGAATCCAATGAAAAAACAGAAAAGAATAAGAGCTATAAAGGAGACACTAGAAATACTTTAAGGAAATCTTGGATTTCAATGTTTTCCCAGTTTTTAATAGAACTTAAAGAAATATATACACTTGAGAATTAAAATCAGGACATGTTTACACTGAAAATATGTACCAATTCATGGCAATCCCCAGCAGGCTGTAGTATTCATCTCAAGCCAATCCCAGGGGTAGTAGTCTACTAGTTTAATATGCTGTAAAAAATTATTTCACATAGTTTCTCTCTCATCCTTAATTCCTCCAGAGCAGCACAAATACTAATACCACTGCTTAGGATAGCGGTCTCAAGAATACAAAGTATGCTAAGACCTTGTCTGTAATAACAAGCATGTTCATGACCATCTAAAAGAACAGGCATCTTACTCATGGGACACTAAACCACCCAACTGTGAAGGAAGACCAAGCAACCTCCTTGCTGCACCTTCTTGCAAACTACTTTGACCTTTCATTTGCCAAGTGCTCTAGATGCACTCTTAACAGCTATATTAATTTCACAGCCATATTCTGCACCCCTCTTCAGGGAAGAAAGACAAGACTATGAAATACCTGAAGTGACTTTGTTATATCCACTAGGACCTTTCTAAAAATTTCTTATTTTTGTTTAAAGCTCAATTCTTGTTTTAGCCTGGGTCATTCCAGTTTACATGGCTGTCAGAAGTTAATAACTTATTACCACAGCACCATCATTGCTATAATTTGTTCACTATGCTTCTTTAAAAACATTACTGGATAACATGAGTACTAACTGCCACTAAGTACATGATCTGATCTATACAATCTTTACTGCTGTAAAAGGACCATTGGGCTAGTAAGACCACTCAGGTGTCCTGTACCCTTTCAAAATGCCAAACAGCTGTCACTACCATATGTATCCCCTAGACCATACAGTATCACACTAAAAGTGAAGTTACAGACATTTTTAAACTTAGCTCTTCAGTATTCATGTAGACATTTTATAGCAGCTGAATGATGTGCCCATCAGTGTTTCACACATAAGTGAGAACAGAAGTAGACAGCATCATCCTGTGGAAGTTACAGATCTGGTATTTGCATGTTACCGAGATAAATCAGACTCTTGCCTCATGAAGTGTTAAGCAAGCAGTATACCTCTGTAGGGTAGGAAGACGACATAGAGATGAGGCACATTTGAGACAAATGAGGTTACATTTCAGAAGTTTCTCTCTAGTTTCAAGAAAAGCATGAATCAGTTGTCAGTGACAATATTTTAATATGTTAAATCAGCTACAAAACCAACCACACAAACACTTTACTACAAGGAAGAAAGCAAGAATACAAGCAGCTTTACTATTTACAACAGAAAAAGGAAGGGAGGACAGTGTGACATGCCATTACAGCAAGGGTTATGTGTTTGACTTAAACCTGACAGGTATTTCAGTAAGACCATTGGGCATTATTTATATATTTATTTATATATAAGTGATAAACCGAATTAAGCTTGCAGTACAGATGCACAATCTATTTTACACTTTGACAGCTTCTGCTAAAAAAAAGAAATTGCCCTTCCAGAATAAGAGACCTTTTTCCAGGAGTAAGAAAAGTTAAGATTGGATGGACAACCAAACAGTGATATGATTCATTGACCAAAGTTGTCAGGAATAGAGTAACCTTTTCTGACAGTACATTGCAGGAGTACTAAAACTTACCCTATTATCACCTGTGGGCTGCTTCTCCCACCTTCTTCCCAGAAGCAATAGCAGCTTATGCAAAACCTACTTCCCTCAACTCTTTCCTGGCCTGTTCCCAGAACCCCCACTCCTTTGTGATTTTAACTGTTCTTTGGACCATATAGTGAACTGATCAGGCAGTTGATCAGTTTCTTCTGGGGCGGGGGGAAGCAGGAGTGGTTTTTCAAGTCTAGATATATTCCAATTCACAGAGTAGACCTAGAAGCAGTTGTACTGAAACAACTGACAGGGAAAGTAAGAGTTCATTCTAGCTGCACTGCTAAGAACTTTCAAATTGAAGTATGCTCTTATGCGAAGAAAGCTTACAAATTACTTACTGTTCAGTGATTTGAGTCTTGAAAGCTCTTAATCCAAGCAAATAGCTCCAAACTAAAGCTTCACTTTAGCACTAAGGTATTACAACAAATGAGCCAGAGCCAATGCAAGCAAAAAAATCCAGAGAACACTGAAGCGTAATTATTTTAATATATAGAAACCAAACAGTTATACTACAAATACACATTGGAGTGCCTTGTTATAAACATTCAGCTTACATTGTCCTCACTGCCCTGAGTACAAAGGAATTCACCTTGCAAGGGAGTTAATTATCACTAGATTTTTATGAAGTCTTCCAGATTAAAGTCCTTATTTTGAACTGGAGACACTTCCTACTAAAATTCAGTTTGTCTGAAAAGGTACACAAAACAGCTCAATATTGTACAAGTTAAAGGTCACATTAACTTTCAGGTAACTTGCAGTTTACAGATCAAATTTTGATTTCTTGACACCAAGTCTCCAGGACTTGAAACTATCTAACACTCAAAATCCCCTTGCCACAATATGGTTCAGTACAGCAAACAAATTCATGCATACCGAAGGTTCAACCTAGAACAGAGGTGACTTTTAACTGTCTATCTTCAATTAAAAATAATATCAGTATTACAGCATGTAATACTGTAACATGCTTAATCTGCTAAGGCATAACTATAAAGTGCTTTTGTATTGTACAATTTCTCATACAGGAAGGTCCAAAAGCGAAGCTTAGCCAGTCTGTTTATTCCTCAAGAGTGCTGCCAAGGAATAGCAGTAAAATAGCCACTCATCCTCCCTGTGCTCTCTTAAGCAGTGCATTTTACCCTTCTCTATTTAAAGATAAGCTAGCTTTTTGCAAGCTAGTTTTAGCAGCATGCAGGAACCACAGTTGAATCCACCATCAATTTAAATCCATCTCCTTAAACTAGATACTTTACCATCATCTGTATTCTCTGAAGAGTCCCATTTCAGCTGTCTTAAGAGTTGTGACAACTATACTACTATACACTGAGCAACCATAGAGAAGTAAGAGCCACACCAATGTACTTCAGCCAGAGAGCATTAACCAGGTCATGCTAAACCTGGGTTTAGAAATGTGTTTTAGACCAAATGAACCTTATGTCATGACTCCGTCAAGTTTAGACAGTACTTAAAATAGAATTAATTGAAATACCAGCACAGACTATAACCCAGTGAAGCCTCTCATTTGTTACCATACATTCCTCACATGTATTTATAGTATAAGCTATTCATGTTCACAAGATGGGGACATTTACCAAGAAAAAGCATAACTGTTAAATATCCAATTGACACTGTTCAGCCATTTTAGGGGGTCATCACACATACTCAGAGTAAATTAGAATGTAATCATGATGTCAAAGAACATAGATAAATCACTAATACGGAAGACTTTAAAACCTAACCTGTGGACAAGTTTCACATCTGCAGAACACAGGTGTGTACTGTGCAGAAGCGTTCTTGCTGACAGCAGCAGTTTGTATGCTCATCAGACAGACTGGGTTTGGAGTACTATGAGCTCTCATGCAGCTCCATCAGCGCAAAGAATTACTTAAACCAAGAAACAGAAGTTGGTTTAAAGTAAGTGCTGCAGCAGCTATTCATTGTCAAACAAATTCATAAGCTAAGTGTCAGAATTACCAATTTAATGGTATCTATGATAAATGCTGGAAAGTATTCAGAGACTTCATAAGGTTGTGGTAACTTTCTGTAAAGTAGTAACTGCTTTTCCAATGCAAATCTTGATTATAAGCATTCAGTAAACTCTGGAGAGATCCAGATAACGCATCCACAAGCACTACCATTTCAAAATCTGTTACTAAAGAAGGTCTGTTCCAATAGTACTGAAGTGCACACCACTACAGAATTTCAGGGTTTTCCTTCCAACAGGTGAACCACTAAAAGTAATTAAGACCTTGAATAAAGACTTCAAAAGTAATCAGTAGTTTGAATCTGTCCTGACTATACTAAGCAGGAATAGGTTTTATTCCATCTGAAACAGATTTATCTAAACTGTAATGTTGCGCTATGTTCATAGATACTTCTAAGCTTGATCACAAGAGTCAAATGCAAGGGGTTTTCATATGTGAATCTTGAAATTGGCTTAGTTATTACTGTTGCATCCATTTAAGTTACATGGAGATAGTTTGAGAATTTAAGATAGTTCAAGCCTACTATAGAAATCAAGGTAGTATTTAAAATTAAAGCCTTTTTCAAATGCACTTAAGATATTCTAAACACCTCTGAAGTTGGAAAGTTTAAACACACAACATCAGCTACTGATAGAATTAAGATGTTAAAAAAAACTTATTTGTTGTGAATGATATACTGAAACCTGAAAAGTAACATCATTGCAAAAAACCAACCTAGATCCATTGAATAGAAAAAACAGTGTATTTGCAATCTATACAACTCTTAATACAGACCTGCCTATTGTTTTGAACAATTTCAGTGTTCTCCCAAGTTTAGAAGATAGTTTAGACTGAAAGTCTGCAAGATCAGTGCAGATCTTTCTACAGGTCACAGTTCAGTGTCTGAAATATGATTCACCAACTACCAGTGGGCACAAAAGAGCTTTAAGCAGAAAGAGGAATAAACAGCACAGTAGCAGTAGTCCCAACATCATCTTTTTTCATCTGCAAAAAACAAAATATTTGTGCCTCACCTATTTTAGGCCATCCCTGCTCTGGATTAATGAGATTAATCAAATCTAAGTGTTGTGCAACTTTTACGCTTTTAAACAGTTCTTACCTGAGAGTGAAAATTTGAAATTGTTGTTGTTTCAATGTCCTTCTTGCCCAAAATTTCCATTTTCACTGGAGTGTTAGGAAAGTTAAAAGCAAAGTAATCCAGGAAGTCTGGTAAATAAGCAGCTGCTCCATGTACTATGGCTAAAGCATAGTAAGCTGCATTTTTATCATTTTCACTGAATGACAACGCAAGAAACTCTTCTGCAAATCTCTCCATCTCCACTGGAGACAAAAATGAGAGTTCATCCATGTAAGCATGAAGGACCAGAGCACCACCATTGGACTGATGTTCTTCATGAATGAAGTTACTAAATTTAGTGCCAGTTTTCAAGAAGCTGCTGCGAACAGAATGCTCCTGGTGTGTCACAAATGGTGTTTGTACTCCCTGGGGTATTCGATATTCCTGCATACCCAAATTCAGTCTGCAGAGTTGTTCATCCTTCAGATACCTGAAGGATTCCTTGTTCATTTCTAAGTTATCACACTGTCCTTGAGACAGAGTCTCTTTGTCAATGCGAGTGAGTCCAGCACACACCGTCTGCACTTCTTTGTTGTACATCTTCAGGCGTTTTCCCCTCATATCTTCCCGGTGTTTCTTTTTCTTTTTTTTCTTTATCTTCTTCATAATAAGACTGTCAGCTCGCTGGGTTTTGCCATTTTCATCTGGAGTTTCTGGCAGCAACAACAGAGATAAGATCAGAGTTCCACAGTTGCAGCATATTCACCCAAAAAGAATTAAGACCTCTCACTTGCTAAAGCTATCTATTCCCAGGAAGACTGACCAATAGTAATACCTGGACTTTTGACTTACAAGACTTAATTATACAATAAAAAATGCAGTACATCTAGTTATTATGCAAAGAAAGCCTTGAATTAAGGAAAACTCCCAAAACTCAAGCTTAATATTTTAGAAATATTTCCACTTTTAATAAATTTATTAGAATACCTTTAAAAGGAGTCCATATTTCAGAACATCTATAATTAAGTACATTAATAACTTCTGACATTCAAGGCAGTGCCATGGAGCAGAAGAGAACAAACAAGTATGCATAACATTTAAACATTAAGACTTTCATGACAGAACACTTCCCGGATTTTGGATACACAATATAGAAGCAAAACAGAGTGCAGCTGAAGAGATACAAGCATTATTGACATTTAGAGGTAAAACCACTTTAAGCAGTTAGCTTTCCGGCCCAAAAAAAAAAAATCCTAGGCTGCTGATCTTTTGTATTATAGGATCCAAATCATCACATCCACATCTTCAGCTATCTTTTGCTAGTCTTACAGTTAACCATTCAGCTAATTCAGAGCTAGAAATTAAGAGGTTGTTGTTTCTTGGTTTTTTAAAGTTAATCAACCTGCAGAAGGCTAAAGGCTGAGAGATAAAATATGAAGTAGTAGTTCTGTTAGGTAAAATGTAATAGTTTAATTGCTCATCTTTTAGGAATAAAAACTAATTCAAGTAATATTTTAGCAAGCGACAATGGTAGTTAGAAAACTGTTAAAAAACTCAATTGCCAAGAGAAGATTTTAATCTGCCTGAATCAAAGAATTATTTCATGCCAACAACGCACATAAACTTCTAAGAGCCATGTTACCAGGATAGCTATGGGGATCAGAACAATCTGCTGCTGAAGGTAACATCTGACCAGAAGATGCAGCAGCTAAAGTTTTTCAGTTTCCCACAGCCCATGGCTTTGTGCTAACAAAATTTCCTTTCTTGGCCTGCTAAGCTATCAAATTTGTATTCCCTCTTTATTCTCTTGCAGCACTTGAAGAAAAAAACATGTAACACTGATCTATGAGAATAGGTGTAATGATAAATACATGCAGCTTCAAGTTATTCAGTCTAACCACAGTATTTAACTATATCATTACTCATTTGGTCTCAGAGCTCTTTAGTAAAGATGGTTGACCTTCATAACAGCCTGGTGTAACGAACAGAATTACTCATGAAGCAAAGAAAGAGTTGATTGCTTAATACTAACTTCATACAATTGTCTTAGGACCTGAAATACAAGTTTTCACAGTACTGCTGCTAGCCTTACAAACAACAAATGCCCTTATTTTTATATTATAGCTAGGGAAACCAGGAAAAGAAATGCAGCATCACTTGTTTTGGTAAGTCAACTGAAACAGTTCTTGGAATAAGCTTTTCTGGAAGTCTCAGAAGTTAAGTGTGCAAAAGCTTACTCAATCACTAAGCTCTCAAGTATAGATACTGCTTTACTAACTGTAATGAACATACTAATCACACAAAAGATCTTTGTTATGGTGGGACCAGAGATTCCAAGCTGAAACTAAACAACAATTTCATGCCACCACTGAGCTGTTGGGAATACTTCCCTGTAGATGTTTCAAAGTTAATTTTTGGTTGTTAAAGGTGTCTTATTTTAAGCATTTCTAATTTTAGGTATAGTTTCAAAACCTCAGACACGCACTGGTTTTAATTCAAAGTATCTTCCTGTTTGAAGATATTCCCTAATAACAGAGATACAGCTAGCACTCTCTGCATTTTGGAACTTCCAGTGAACACTGGTCTATTTTCAGGATAAAAGCTATCCTGACCACTGCTGTATCCACTGAACACAGCAGAGTCCCACTACTACAGTGAGAGTAACCTCTGTATTACGTGAACCTAGACAATGACATTATGGCAATGCCTGACAAACTTGAAGGAAATATAGTTTTAATTATTCCTTTAAATAAATGGAAAGCCTCCAGTACCTCAAACACAAAGAAAGCTATAGCCAGGCCATCAAACTGTGGACTCCCACAGTGAGGTAGAATAACAGCAGTGCCAGTAACTCAGCTACTCTAAAGCTATTAGACAACACAAAACTGAACACACTAGTATCACTTTTAAAAAGCAAAAACAGAGGAGATGTTCACTGTCACCTGTGGCCAAAGATAAGAATAGTAGAGTCAAAGAAATAGGTGGTTAAGATTATAAATAGAAATAAAATCTGATAGAGAAGGACAGCAAGAGAAATCCAGCTACATCCCGAAACCCACTACATACGCAGTCTAGGACAAGTAGTGAAGAGCTTCAGACTTCCAGTTAGCAAACAGCTTTCCTCTGCAAATCTGGACTTCAGATAGTAATTTTAACAGTGTTTAAGCCCTCATTAAGAGAGGGCCTCATGCATTTACTGGGTTAGGACTGACACACAGTGACACTCCCAGTCTACCAAGACATACTACTTCTGTAGTTTTATCAACATTTATCAAGCTAATGTTTGAAATTTACAGCCCAGGAGCTTTTATAGTCATTATTCACAGTGGTTTAGAAGCATTAAACAATAGCAAAAAGTCTCTCCCCATAATAGTTTTGCCCATTCTTAAGACAGTACTATCTAGAGTTTACACTACAGAGTTAACTTTTGTAAGCATGTGCATCTTTGGTTTCCTTGGCACAATACCTTCATATATACTCCTGAAGTACAATTCACAACGTAATATCTTTACTACGGCAGCATTTGCAATTGCTTTTCACCTATGTTGCCCTCACCAAGTAGCTTTTTACTATCATAAATTTGTAAGCAGAACCAAAATAGTCATTTGTACTGTTAAAAAAAAAATTAAAAAAAAAGAAGAAGAGACGACGACACCCCCCTCCCCCCCCGTCCAGTTTTGGCCTTCCTGTCAGAGAAATCGCAGGGCATTTATTTAAAAAAAAAACCAACAAAAAACAAACAAACAAAAACCAAACACAAACCCACACCAACAAAAAAAAAACCCCCAAACAAAACAGCAGCTTCTCAGTTCTAGCGTATGTTAAAGCAAGCACAGTAGGAAGAAAGCTTTGCTATCCAAGCACTTGCACGTTGAACCCGCGACGAGGGCGATGCTGAACAGCAGCACGACTAAGAGCAGCAGCACCAGAGCGCCCGTTCCGGGCACGGAGAGCCCACGGCTCCGGTCTCTCCGTCACACGCCGCCGGGCTCCGCGCTCCCTCCCGAACTGGTAGGAGTGCCGTGCCCCGCCGCGGCACGGAAGCGCGACAAGGGCTACTGAAGCCACGGTCCGCTCGCCCTACCTCGCACACCCCCACACACGGCCACGCTCGGGGCTCCGGGAGCGGCGAGCATTCTTCTCCGCTCCCGCCTTCGCCCCGGCGGGCGAGGCCGAGCCCCAGCCGCGGC